TGAGAAAGGATGGCTTGAAAAAAGGCGTATAAACCAGAAGCAAAACCGCGATATGAAGGCAATGGCTAACAGCAACTCAGCTACAGCAACCACGAGGCCTTAGGCAGCAACTGCGCATGCGCAAGTCTCACACCGCTGGCCAGCACTCCACTCCCAGTTAACTTTGCTTAAATTTAACCACATTTAAATTCTTCCACCAACGCACCCATCCATCCACCCACCTGTCCACCCTCCTCTACCCATACGTTCTTCCACCAACCCACCCACAGACCCATCCATCCAACACACCCATCCACCCTACCCTCTTATACATTCTTCCACCAACCCACACACAGAAACATCATCCACCACACCCGTCCATCCACCCACCTGTCCACCCCACCCTCTACCCATACGTTTATCCACCAACTCACCCACCCACAGACCCATACACCCACCCTACTTATCTACCCCAGCCATCCGACCCATACATTCATCCAACAACCCACCCACACACATCAATCAAACACCCATCCACCCTTCCCACATACCCATCCATCCATCCATCTACCCATCCATCCATGCATCACATGCAGCCATCCATCCATCCACTCCCTCTTTCTCTCCTTCTGTCCTCCTTTCAATTGATTAATGGCATTGGTTAATAGCTCCTTATACTATTATATTCTTCCAGGAAGTCTCAAGCAGAGAAGTTCATCATGGGTGCTGCCAAGCTCATCTCGCCGGCCATTGAAAACAACTTTGCTGCTGGTTTTGACTGGTGCATTGATTGTGTCAAGGTTTCTCCTTACATGGAACTAGCTAATGAACTAGAAATCACAAAAGCTGTTACCTATCTAAAACAAAAGGATTTGAACAAGGTGGGTGTGGGTAATAAAAAGATATTTAAAAAAGAGTCCTCGTTTTTACAAAGGTAGCACTCCATGATCGAATAGGAATTAAGGAGTTGATTTTTGTGGACTGGAAGGAAGACCAGACAGAGAACCCGGAGAAAAACCCTTGAAGCACAGGAGAGAACCAACAAACAACTCTACTCATGCACATCATTTCCCTTGCTGTCGTGCAGTTCTCTTAGTTCTCTTCAGGGCCAAATTATTGTGGCACACTGTCAAATGGCTTCCATGCCGAACATTTAATAATACCCAATTTTAATGGTTAATTATATCATATTTAATGCCATAGGCTGTTGAATGCTTGAAGGGTTTTGAGAAGAAGGACTCAAAAGTCCAGTCAACAGCAGCCACTGATTTGTCATTTTTGTACTTCCTGGTAGGTAAATCTGAATAATTTTTATAAAGAAAATAAATAAGGTCTAATGATATCCTAATACAGGTTCAGGTTCAATGACGTTCACTCTTAATGGTTAAATGTTCTTTGTTATTGCAGGAAAATGATTTCAACCAAGCTGATAAGTATGCAGAGTTGGCAATGAGCACAGATCGATACAATCCTGCCGGTTAGTATTATAATCATGCTTTTGTGATTACTCCAAGCAAAAATCTCAAAAATCAAATCCTCTGTATTAGTGATAATCACTCAGTTTTGTCCATTACTTTTTATATCTGCTTGTAGCCCTTGTGAATAAAGGAAACTGTCTGTACGCTCAAGGGGAGTATGAAAAGGCCAGAGATTTTTACCAAGAGGCATACAATGTAGAAGCAACATGCACAGAAGCTCTTTATAACCTGGGTAAGTGTCTGTTCGGGTAGAAATGGGGGGAGAGAGGAAAGGGCTCTTCCTAGCTATTGATGGTGTTGGGCATCGATCTCTTTACACTGTATTTTCGTAAAGACTTTTTTCCGAAATAGCAGAAGAAAATACAGTATGGTATTATTAATTTGTTATTAAAGGTCTTGTGTTCAAGAAGCTTGGTCAGTATGAAGACGCCCTGGATTGTTTCACAAAGCTCCATGCCATCCTAAGGAACCACCCACAAGTCATCTACCAGCTGGCTAATATGTATCCTAAACATTCTAGTCTTTAAATTTATCTTTTTTCCTATCCTATCCTATCCCATCCCATCCATCCCATCCATCCCATCCCATCTCATCCATCCCATTCATTCCATCTCATCCCATCCATGCCATTCATGCCATCCCATGCCATCCCATCCATCCCATGCCATCTCATCCCATCTCATCCCATCCCATCCCATCCCATCCATCCTATCCTATTCTATTCTATCCTATTTTATGCTATTCTATTCTGAACCTTATAAATGCACAAAGCAGTACTCATTATCCATAGATATTGTCCTTGGTCTTAAATTCTCTCTTTACCAATATAAATTCCTTTCTAAGCATTGATCGAGACAAGAATTCTGACAGGTAAATGGGCAGTAGACTACTATCAATCAAATAATTTACTTATTGTCGATTGACCTGTCGTGATGTTTGTCTCTATCACCACCTAGCAATGAAAAAATTGCTGTGAAACTGGTATTTATTCGCAACCACTTTACAACATTTCCTTTACTTGTGTGTGTTATACACTAAAGATATGAGTTACTGGAAGACATGAATCAAGCAACAGAATGGTAAGCAGAGCAAAAAACTTTTGTGATTGAAACATTTTCTACACTAAAGCTACACACGGTGCAACAGGGCGYGCAATGTTGCATGCAATTGATGTTGCAAGCCATGACAAGACCCAATAGGCCTATCCCGAATTCGCTTGACTGGTCATGAAACAATGATTTCAAGTCAAGGTTGAACTTAATGAACAAAATAATCAAGTCCAGACTCAGCTTCAAACCATTGTTTCTTGATCAGTCAAGTGAATTTGGGATAGGTATATTTGTTGCATGCACAACATTGCCTGCAATATTGCCGCACTGTGTGTCTTTGTCTTACCTTTGCTTTGTTCTTTATTAACTTCTATTAAGTTTGCTCTGTTGATTACTTTTAAGGTACATGCAGTTAGTGTCTGTGGTACCAACAGATCCCTTTGTGTTGGCCAAACTGGGTGAGATCTACGATAACGAGCAGGACAAATCACAAGCTTTTCAGTATCACTACGAGGTATGTAGGTACCTTTTTTGGGGCTCCCTGTGTGAGGGTCCCCAATGAGACTCAAGTGCGCAACTGTTAAGTCTTTGGTACAAGACTAGATTTGACCAGCTAAAACACTTAGTGTTGTATTTGTGTCATATAATCTGATAGTTACTAGACTGCGAGCTAAGTCCCTCTATTTCCCTTGGTCACTGTCCGTCTGTCTGTCTCACTGTCCATCTGTCTGTCCGTGTCGATTGGTCTAGGAAGATTGGTTAGAATCAAAAGACCCTGGGGGAGGGGACAGATGGACAGTGAGACAGACAGACGGACAGTGACCAAGGGAAATAGAGGGACTTGGCTTGCAGTCCAGATAGCTACATGTCCCAGTATTCTGCTAATAAGCACTGGTAATCTTGCACTGTGATTGGTCAGTGGATGACAGCAGTTTGTTACCATGACTATACAGTTTTTACTCTAAAACCTTTGTCATTGGATTGGCAGTAATGCATTTCTTTTTACCTCACAGTCTTATCGTTATTTCCCGTCTAACATCGAAATTATCTCCTGGCTGGGTGCCTACTACATCGACTCACAGTTCTGTGAGAAAGCAATTCATTATTTTGAACGAGCAGCTGTCATACAGTAAGTCAGTACTTGTAATCTTACAGCACATCTATAAGCACAGAAAGCGTAGAGGTGAGTTCGCTCGCCTCTCACCAATGCGTCCTGGGTTCGATTTCTGGACTCGGTCTCCTATGTGATTAGAGTTGCTTGTTGGTTCTCACTTGTGCTTCGAGGGTTTTTGTCCATTATTCTTTCTTTTTTAATCTCCTTTCCTCCCCCTCCCTCCTTTTCTCTCCTACCCCACTTGTTCTCTTAATGTCATACCCCTCCCCTTTCCCCTCCCCTCTATTCTTCTCCTCCCCTCCCCCCTTCCGATCCCTCTCCTTCATACCACCCCCCNCCCCCCCCCCCCCACACACACACCTGTATTCCACTCCCTCTCCTTGGCTATCCATTCTTCCCTCAACTCAAACATAATATTTTTATCTGTTCTCAGACCAAATGAAGTAAAATGGCAGCTAATGATTGCCAGTTGTTATCGGCGTAGCGGTAAGTCCTGTTGATCTTGAACCTTGTAGGTGATGGCGCGCAAGTGAACAAACTAAATATTTTGCTCATGACTTTGTCTTTAGCCTAGCCTCTGCATCGTCTCTTTTTAATGTCTAAATAAATAATGAACTAATGAAATTTTTTTGTATCTTTTAGGAAACTACCAGCAAGCACTAGAGACCTACAAAGCTATTCACCAGAAGTTCCCAGAGAATGTGGAATGTCTGAAGTTTTTGGTTCGAATTTGTACAGATCTTGGACTAAAGGATGTGCAGGAATACGCACAGAAGCTGAAAAAAGCAGAAAAAGCTCGTGAACTAAAGCAACAGGTATGTACAGTAGGCCTAGTCTCCGGCTTTCCTCCCTCCACAGAAATTAACTTATAAATCCTAAATCAATTTGGTATTGAGTGCATAAGTTAACAAGTTTCTCCGGCACTGGCAACAAGCCAATCAACATCTGCTGTTTGTCGAATCAAGTCAGTTTTTATTATCAAGGAATGTAGTCTTTTTATTAATCACAGTCTGTTCTTTGTTTGAACAAAGAACGGAAAAAAATCATAGTTTTAGCATTTCACTTTGCTTTCGTCGTTCTGCGCTCCTTACATCAGAGCGTTATTCTTTTGTCAAATGATCAGTGAAAGTAAATAGAACTTTATTACAAGAGTGGATCCAGAATTTTTTCTAGGGGAATTTACCATCCAGGATTTTCATTTTAGGAGGGGGTGCACCCTTTGCTTATAATCTCAAACAGCAATAATGCAGTGTATGTCAGCTAGGCCAGAAGGGGAGCGCTTCCCCTGCACCCCTAGATCAACCACTGATTACACAAAACGAACCTTCTAACTCAAACTAAAAAATGCCTTTTCCTTATTTCATTCCCTACTTCTACTGGGGTTTTCCTGTACCTTATGGCATCTAATCAGAGATTTCTTGTTGTGTTTCATACAGAGAGCCAGTAGTGGTAGCAGTCGCAAGGGTAGTGGGCGTGRCGGGAGCGCTAGTCGACCAGGAGCTGCGGGGTCTCGAAACAGCAGTGCTGGAAGTGGTAGGTTTTGTGTGACAATGACAGTATCTTAGATTGAATTTTTCGTTTAATATGACTGTGATTTTTGTACATTTCCTCTCAGATTCTAGTCGTATTGGTAGTGGTACAGGAACTAGAGGAATTGGGAGCGCTGGAAGTAAAGCTGGTCATGCGAGACCGACTCTTGCGGATACTGATGATTTGTATAATGTTGCAAGTCCTAAGGAAGTTGGTACGTATGTTGCCCCCACAGAAAAAATAAGAGAAGGGGTTTAGGGTTCCCTTCCCATGTAAACGCCCATGTTTTTTAAAAATCATGAATATATTTGGTTTCCTCATAGATGCTACGTACTCAGACCCCCTAGGGGAGGCACCAGCAAGACCAAAGACAGCAGGCCGTCAGCGGCATCAACCTCAAGAAGATGAATTTGGTGACGAAGAACTTGGGGATGATCTCCTTCCAGAGTAGAGCCAACCTCAAGAAATACCATATTACATTAAACGAGTCACCTGTTATAAAGGATACACTTATCTTTATTGACTTGATTGGATTCATTGAAATTGAAATTCCATGTTAATTCACAGAAAAATACAACAGTCTCCCTCCTAAGCATATATTAGGATTAGTTTCTCTTCATATTATAACTTGTAAGAAAAGTCATAGATGTTAGGGATATTTATTAACAACATGCTTTGCATTCACTCCCTTGATGAAGCATTAATAAAATAGTGGAAAAATAAGACCTGTTACCTGTCTATTATTCTTTATATTTGTAACAAAGCCCACTTCTGAGATATACTTTGCTTTTAATGCCTAAATGTTTCATTACCAGCCTCCATTATAGACGTTTTGTGTTGTTATCAAACCACATAAAACGTCTGCAACAGAGGCTATTTCAGTACAAGGCTAAATTTAAATTTATTCTCCACTTCACTAATCCCTGAGCATTAAGCAAATTATTTTAATTAACCTTTGAGCATGACAAGGGAAGCATACTATACCATGGAATATCCCTTAGTCTTTTAGGCAAGTCCAATTTGAGAATTTTCAAAACATCACAAGTATCTATAAATTTTAAATTGTATGAGAACATTGTGGTATTTTTTGTTTATAATACACTCAACAAAATTGAGGGATTTAATTGGGACTCTACAGAGTACAATTTGGGATTTAATTGTACTCCTCTTGTCCAATCAGAATCGAGGAATTTATAATTTATAATTATAATCAATAGTACAGTATGCAGGTATTTTTAAGAAGGTTGGTGGATTTTTGTTGAATGCTATGTTGCTTTCTAAATAATGTCGGCACAAAAGAAATTATGCCTGAAAAATGTGTACACAACGTTTGGGAAAATTCCATTTTGAATTCCACATTCACTGATTGAATTCACATCACCCATAGGGCAATTCGGGCTTGATATGTTAAAGTCTTTTTTTTTAAAGCTGTATAAACACAAGCTAAAAAAAAGTGCCATAATTCTAGTATGCATTGTGAGAGCTCAAAGAATGGAATGGGATAACTCAGCTGGAATTCTCCCATTTTTACTTCCATTTCAAGCCCGTACAAATATAAATAACAACAGCCTCCAGATTAAAAATATATCTATATTTTTATGTTTCATCAAGTCATTAAAATCCAGGTCGGTGCTTCTTTCCCTTTCCCTTTCCTTTCTTTTTCTTTGACTCCGCTCTTTCTTTCAAATGTTTTTGTCTCATTTTTTGTCCTTCCTCCATTTGCTTCTGTTGCTGTTCTTTCCTATCCTTCCATTGCATTCTACTTTTTTGCTTTTGTTTTTCTTGTCTCTTCAAGGTCTTTTTTAACAGTTTTGGATCATCTTTCACCTTCATGCCCTCAGCTTTCTCCAGTGCACTCTTCCAGGCCCGTCTTTCTTGAACTTCTCTAGCTTTTCCTGCATCTTTTCCCTTCAATTCTTCAAACTTTTTCTTCCTATTTTCTGCCTTAGCAAGCAGTTTTTTGTAATCCCTAGCTTTGCCCCCATGTTTAGCTTTCTTGTTCCTCTCCATAAAATCAAATTTGCTGAATACAACTTCTCCTTTGTCATTGACCACTTTATTCCCAGCTGATTGCGATGAAATGTTATCGTTTTGATCCTTTTTAAAATGAGAAATTTCACTAAATTTCTTTTTTTCAATTTTGATCTCAGATTTGGCTTTTTTCTTGGGTCTTTCTTGATGTTTTTTGAAACTCGAAGTTTTTCGTTTTCCTTGTAACAGCTGTATTCTCTCATGTAGTCGTGCGCGCAGGTCACCTATTTTCCCGCTTGGAACTTTTTCCACGCTAAATCCTTCATCATTGTTATCGCTTTCATCTTCTGATTCGCTTTTATCACTAGATTTCTTCCCGCTTGCTTCTTCTTCTTGTAGATCAACAACGCTCTTCGCGTGGTTTGGATCAAGTCTTCTTTTCTTTGCCTTTCTCGTAGCTTCTTTCACTGCTTGCTTGGGGGCATTTTTCTTGCGATTTTTGTAAAATTTCCCGCTCTTTTCTTCCTCATTGTCAGGCAAGTAAAATTTCGCCGGAACGAGACGAACTAAAGAGTTAAAATAATCCGAATGACTTGCAAGACGCTGTTGCAATTCCTCATCAACTTCGTCCGCCATCTTGCATGTGCTTCACGTTGTTTTAATAATTCGATAACTCATCGCTATGATCCCGAATAATGAACGAATAATAATCGAGTTGAAAAACTATGAACAACCTTTTGCACGAATCACTACCGAATAATAGTCGATTAGAAAACGAAGTTTAATCGACTTGAAAACTCTCTCGTTGACTGATGGGAAGGCTGTACCACGTGAGTTCTCTTGACGGAAAAGATGGCGGATGCAGGGTTTTTCAGAGTAAGCACGATTTATTTTAAGTTTTCGTCGTCTTTTTCTTTATGTCTTAATCCTTTAACGACATTTAATCCTTGAGTACTTATTTTTCTTCCTAGGGAACAAGCGCAGAGCAAGATAATCGTTTTCGAGACAAACAAAAGAAGCTTTTGAAGTCTATAAAGTTTGAAAATGTCTTGGGGCAAAAGGTGCAGGTTTATTCAAAAGAGATTGCAGTATTTCTCAAAATTTTGCCTGAATGAACTTTTTTATTCCTCTTTTACTCAGACAAGAAGAATCATACTTTATGAATTCTCTTTTTCCTGTAGGTCGATATGGAGAAAGTCAACCTGGATGTTTTAAAACCATGGATAACAAAGCGTATTACAGAGATTTTGGGTTTTGAAGACGACGTTGTCTTGGAGTTCGTCATGAACATGCTTGAATCTGAAAAGGTATAAGATACAAGCTCTATAGAAAGCCTAGATAACAAGATCTGATTGCCAGTTTGTATTGTAGGATTTTTAGGAGCTTTATTTAGAGAATGTTGTTGGAGCTCAAGTGCATAAGTTTTCTATTGTCAACTTTGGATTTTGGTGTTAATGTAATTACCGGGAGGGGAAGGGAGGGTGGGAATTGCTATCTATCTTGAAATGAAAACTGACCCAGACAGCTATGTATCAGCTTATCATCATCAACATTATTCATTATAACATCAGATTAACATTTGATGCATATTTACAGTCTTGTAGACACCACTAAAATACACCTAACCTTTGTGTGAAATGGTAAACTTTACTTCATGTTTGACGTACATAAAAAGTATTGAGCATGACTAAATCTCCCAGTAACCCCTTGCAGGGAGTGGGTCTCCACAGGGAGCCCAAAGTCCACTACAGTCTCCTTTATCATTGCAATATTGCAATTATCATTATCATCATTATCATCATCCCAATCACCATCATCATTAGATTTATCATCATCACTCATGACTTAAAATAATGGCCAAGTAAGTTGCTGGTCATGATGGCCAGCCAAAGTAGTTTTAGCTCAGTCATACAGTATGTTGTGTCTGGCGCAGTGTTGCTGGTCAAAGTGACCACCAAGGCAAAGATTTGACAGGACAAATCCCAGTTCTGGCAGTGTCACCACCACCATCATTATCGTCACATTTACCATCATCAATGTCAGATTTATTGTCATAATCTGATTTCTGTTTTGGAATCCCTTTGTTATCTAGCACCCGGATCCCAAGTTAATGCAGATCAATATCACTGGTTTCCTGCAAGCCAAGAATGCAAGGATCTTCATGGGAGAGCTATGGGAATTGTTAGTCAGTGCACAGGAAAACATCGGCGGGATACCATCCGAATTCCTGGAAAAGAAAAAAGAAGAAATAAAACAAAGAAAGGTAAAGTAGCCAACCATGAGTTTATTGGAAATAGGAGGTGTCTAAAAATATACTGCTACAAAATAATGCTTGCATGGGACAGAAAAGTCAGTCAGAAAACTGTGCACACCTAAAATATGTCTGTTATGTTAAAAAAAATTTCTGGCCAACCACATGCGACAGTTATTAGAAATGAATTCATTCTGGTCAATGTTTACAGTGCAAATTGAAAATATGTGGGCAGAAATTTTTCAAGAATGTTTGTTAGCCAATTAGGAGTGTTATTGTTATCTTTCCATTGTCTTGTGTTTAGAATGTCAATTCTGATTGGACAAAGAAGAATAGAACATTCCTGGAGTATTTCTAGGTGCCCACGGTTTTTCGATTTGCACTGTAAAATTCCAGGCATATTTGGAGTGTTCACGGTTTTCTTAGTTTGACTGTATTATGATAATAATAATGATATAAAGGTACTTATAAGGCGCATTTCTAACCCCAATGTAAGTCAAATAGAAACTACTTAAGCAGAGATTCTCTTCAACTTTATTTTTTAATTCATTTATTTTTCATGGTGTAAGTTGCTATATAAGTATTCGACTGTCAAGAAATATTGTCACGTGTCTAAAGGAAAAGAAACAACAATACCATATTTACGATTTCCAATTTCAATTATTTGGGAATCCATTCTTCCCACATCCATATATACCCATATATAAGTTGTTTTATCGATTTCAATTAGCAAGGAAAGAAATATAGTACTAGTTACAAGTTTATGATTAAGATATAAAATAAGGTATAGGAATCAAAATATAGAGATTCTATTTAGCAAAAAATACAACACCAAACTCGCTATATTTGTGCTCAGAAAGCAATCCTTACCATTTATGACCAGATTTTCTACAGAAAAAGTGGCGTTTTTTACTTATGTCCAATTTTTGTTCTAGTTGTTTAGATCAAACCTTCAACACTACAGGTAACATTTTATAACATGTCTGCACTTCATGGCAGCTGTGTTTACACTTACTTGGGTAAAGGAACGTTTTAATGATTTACAGTAATAGTGATGGGTTGTATATAGGTAATCTGGACATCCATCCCATCCATCTCTTATTCACTGTCTAATATACATCCATCTGCTAATCAGTACATCCACCCACCCATCCATCCATATACTATCCATCCATCGATCCATCAAATCTCATTCATTCTATTCATATATCCATCCATCCATCCATCCATCCATCCATGTATCCATTTACCCATCCATCCATCCATCCATCCACTCACCCATCCATCCATTTTCCATTTATCTACCCTTACTTCTTTCTACTCATTCAACCATCCAGTCAATTAGAAATCAATAGTCAGCCAACATTTGTTACGATATAAAAAACTAGATTTTGTACTTTCCTTATTCAGTTATAAATAGCATTAGCTTCTCTAGTGTTTCTGGCTAAAAATCCCTCTTAGCAAATAAAAAGCAAACAGATATCTCTTACAATTACTTCATAACTTGAAATATTATTAATATTCTAGTAGTTGATCTCATTGTCTTAAAAATGTTTTGGGGTTCATATCTCCCTCATCAGGAGGGTTTTTCTCTAGGTACTCCAGTTTTCTTTCCTCTATAAAAATCAAGATTGGAGTTGATTGCTTTGTGTTGTCACAGTAAATGTAGTTTTAGTGCCTGTGGAGTAAACCTTATTTTAAAGTCCCTTTTATGGAGTGGTTTTGATATTCAATATTTTCCTGAGATTTCCTCTCTTGGGTAATGTGTTTAAACTAAATGATTAACAAAATACTTGTAATTCTACTCCCAAGCTTGAACAAGAGAGAATCCAAGCTAATCTTAAAAAGCAAGGAGAACTTTTACAAGCAGAAGCAGACAGCACAGGTGTTGAAGATACTCAGAATGGCATGGGTGCTGATGATACTAACCTGCCAGAAGAGGTGCGTAAGGCAAGAAAAGCTGCATCCAAGCTAGCTGAAAGCATGGTGAGTAACTTAAAAAACTTAAGAACAAGTTTTTATGACTGTGAAAACTGATGATACAAGCATACTGCAGTGCCATAATTATGCTTTTCACTAGTGCCATATGTGAGTATTTTGATTGGCTTAGCGTTGATCTCGCTTTCTGTGATTGGACCAAAGGATGTAGTCAATTTTATATCATGGTGGTTAAATGAACGCCTTGAAGTTTCACAGTCATAAGAAGAGTAGTTAAAGTTAAAGCCTGCACTTTGTAAATCTGTGGTGGGCAATAGACCTCTTGGGCATAATGTTTTGCCATTTCAGGCCACATGTCATTCTCTAGAGTATCATTTCTTTGTTTAACAATTGTGCTTAAGAAGACAAATTAATATGGGTACAACTCACATGAAATATCCTTTTCTCAAACAATAACACTTGGTCTGAAACAGGAAACATTAGGACTTGTAGAAACATGATTTTAAAACAGCTCTGAAAAGTTATTAGATCATAAGCCAAAATTAATAATTTATTCTGGTTAGAAGTGTTATCTATAAACTTCTATTACTTCATTAATCGTGTGAAGATTTAATAAGTAATAATAAATAGATAATTAGCACTCACAAGAGTATAGCTAATCAGTAGAGAGTTTAATAAAACAACAATAAACAACAACACCAACATCAACAATAATAACAACAATAAAAGGAGGACGCTTCTGTAAATCACTCTTTGACTTTGGTTATCCTCAATAGACCCTTTTTGAGTTCTAAATCACTGCTGTGTTTCTTGAATACAGACTCATTTGCTCAGGGTAAGCCTCGAATCAGTGTCTAATTACTCGCAAATACCAACGGTAAAGTAAAGAATGCACGAGTTCAACAATACGAACACTTTGAAACTTGACGGACCTTGACTGGAACACATGAATATTCTTCACAAAATTGAGGCTAACCCTGAGCAAATGAGTCTGTAATCAAGAAACACATTGGTGATTTGGAACTTGAAAAGGGTCTATTAAGATTATTATAATTAAAAAAAAAAAATTTGTCCAGAATTAAACAACAGGCATCAAATATTTAGAAGTAGTTAGTGGAACTTTTTGAAACCATTTGCATGTTTTCTCATATATTTTAATACATTTAGTTCAGCTTCTATTTCTTTTTCTTATCTTATTCTCTTCCCTTTCAATTCAAAGTAAAAAGAAAAAGAAAGAAAGCAGGGCTAAAGGATTTCTCTCATGCTCGTTGGTTGTCTCTCTTGAATTAGAATTACAATGAGGGATCTTAATTTAGGATGACCAATGAATCTTATATTCTAAATACCAAGCTTACTAATGTAAGCAATATCAATGCTTTTAAATTCCTTTCCTCAATGGTAAAGCAAATTCTTCACAGATTTTATCTGTAATGACATTTTCTAGGAGTCTTTTTTCTCAACTTTTCTTTCTTCCTCCAATGTATCTCCAATAATAAGACCATTGATCGTTATTAATGAGGTCAAACAGGTTCTGTATACTTTAATGCAGGTCAGATTGTGAGGGCAAACTTTGTATTTATCAGTCATTGAAATGTGTGTTGGTTCTCTTCAAAAGAAAAGGCAATTCTGTCAGAAAAGACAGGGACAATTTGCTACACACCAGCAAGAAGCAATAAGAATGCTAGGAACTCCATTTCCTACTTACAAACAGTTTTGGATTCAAAGAATCAGCTAGGGTTTGATTTCTAAAGAGTTTACACGACTGAGTTGTTGTTATGGCAACATTGGTTGTCATGGTAGCATCAGTAGGCATGGTAACATTGGTTGTCATGGTAATATCAGTAGGCATGGTAACGTTGGTAGTCATGGTAATATCAGTAGGCATGGTAGCATTGGTAGTCATGGTAATGCCATACTTTTCCATCATTCAGGGCGACACCACTAGCCAGGGAGTGGTGGGGGAACAAGGTGCAACCACTGCCGAGCCCACAGAGAAAACAGAGAACAAAGGTACAAAAGCTGAAAGGGTGGGGAATGAGGATTCTGGCTCTCGGAAACATAAACGAAGATGGAGTTCTAACAAAGAGAGCTCTGATGGACTGAAATCACCAGAGAAGGGTCATTCAAGGTCAAGGTTGAAAAGAGATACACTATCCCTAACTAGTGAACATTCTGAAAAAGGAAATCTTAACCCAAAGAATGAATCTCATGAATCAAAAAAGAAAGAATCCGAGAGCTCAAGTCTAAGTAGAAAAGAGGCCAGAGCCAAAAGATTTGGACTTCAAGTAGAAAAAAGCACTAGAACACCAAAATATGATAACCTACTAAGATCATCGTGTCATCCTTGTAATGCTGCTTGTGCAGTTGATCGGGAAAAACCCAACTGGGCCAACACCCACCTCCAATACTGCTCTTTAGCCAAGAAATCTGGTACTAAAATTATTCTAGTTGGAGATTCCATGGTCAAAGGGCTAGCCCGCTATCCTCGCGTGTGGAGATATTACTTTGCTAGACTTGGTGCTTTGAACTTTGGAATTGGGGGCGATCGAACTCAGCATGTTTTATGGAGGCTGCAGAATGGAGAATTGGAATGTACCCCAGAAATCATCGTGATACACTGCGGCACAAATAATGTCAATCAAGACTCGGCAGAAGATATAGTAAGGGGTATACTTGCTATAGTAGATTTCATATCTGCTAAGACTCCTTATTCGAAGATCATCGTAACTGGCATCCTACCCAGAGATCTTTATCCTTCTTTTCGCCGAACGAAAATTACCGAAGTTAATTCCATCCTTGAAGAAATTATCGACCTATCAGATGACCAGAAGTTCAACCATGTGTACTTCCTGAGACCAGATAGTGATTGGATATTAGATGACGGCACCATTGATGAATCACTTTATCATACAGATCATCTACACTTGATTGAAGCCGGTGACGAAAAGTTTTCCAAGGCAATCGTTAGTCTTATCAACAAAGTAAGAAGCATGAAGATAATTAACAATTTAGTTATGAATAATGATTATAATGATAATAATGATCATCATCATCATCATCATCATCATCTCATTTATACTCACATTTAAGAGTAACAGAGACTGCTAATATCTCCGAGTCCACTCACACACACCACCACAACAGTGGAATATTTTATACACCCAACTCTCAACTCGCATGTTGATTTTTATGGAGGCAGGAAAACTATAATTAGAGAGTTTTAGATTGACTTTTTTTCTCCACGCAAACGGCAAACGTGACCATGTTTTCATAGTTTTCCTTTATTTTATTCTACCTTTTACAAACCTTCTCACCAAGCGCAAATACTCTTTTGTTTTTCTACTACTTGGACTTTTTTGCGATTCTTTTTCAGTAATTTAAAAGAATTTTTTACGTAAATCTAAAACTCTCTATTATCTTGTTTTCCCTTTACTCAATACCTCTACTGGTTGAAAAACACTTAAACTCTTAAAGTGCCTATCACCCTTCTGACAATATTCATAGTATTGATTTTACATGGGGTAAGATGTTAAATAACCTAAAAAAAATTCATAGTTTGAGTGCAGCTTCTTGAAGCTACGAAGGTTTTTCCATGCCATATGGTAATACTGTGACCTATGAGGAGTAATCATTTAATATACAAAACATTACTGGCACAAATAAATAATAATTGATTCTGATTCTCAAGGGAATGACACTGTTAGCCACACAAACTAGTTGAAAATAGTAGTTAGAAATAATTTAAAACTGCTAATTAGGTATTGTGTTTTTTTTCAGGTTCAGGGCTCTAAAACAAAGGAAAACTCTATTAAAGGTAAGACTAGTATTTATGGATGAAGAAAGAGATTGTAAAAATACTACTTTCTGTTATAGCCAGGGTTCATGCTACTCCTGAAACTCCTTGAAAACTCCTTGAATTTAATTCACGTTTTCAAGGGCACTTGAAAAGCTCTTGAATTTTACGATTTTAGCAAAACTCCTTGAAAACTCCTTGAATGTTTACTTTGATCATTACTTGCATGGTTCTGAAATAGATCTAGTCAGAAAGATTGGAAAATCTGAAAGTCGGCCATGTGCAACCACCGGGTAAAACCTTGGCATAGTTAGCTGAACATACTCCTTGAAAATTCATTTTTGGGTCCTTGTATACTCCTTGGATAGTCCTTGAATTTTAAGTGGTTACCTCAGCACGAACCCTGTATAGCCATCTGGAGTACATCAGAACTGGCACTTTTATTATTGCTTTTCATACCAGGTTGAACCCCCAAAACATTTTGTAGAAAGTGAGAATGGAAACGTTATGCATTCAGTACCATACTCTTGCAAACAACACTTGTATTGTGAAGGGGACTTTGTGCCCTTTTGTTTGTCTATCATAATGCTTGCTAGTTTTCTAAATCAGTAGGAAAATTGTCAACTATATCTAAGTAATTTCGTTATGAATTTTTCACAAAGATAAAGAAGAAAGAGAAGAAAAAGACAAGAATAGTAGAAGGTAAGATATTTGATTTTAACTTTACCAGATTAGATATTTGTAGACTAAAACGACAAGTTTTTTGTCACCAACGTCATCATTTTCACCAGTCATCATCATCATCATCACTATTATTCATCATCATCATGTCATCTTCATCAGTCAATGTTATCACCATTCATCATCATCATCTGTCATTATCATAAGTCATTGTCATCTGAGTTATCATTCATTATCTCTACATCATCAGTGCTCACCACCACCGTCATCATCATCATCTGTCATTATCATAAGTCATTGTCATCTGAGTCATCATCATTCATTATCTCTACATCATCAGTGCTCACCATCATCATCATCATCATCTGTCATTATCATAAGTCATTGTCATCTGAGTCATCATCATTCATTATCTCTACATCATCAGTGCTCACCACCACCATCATCATCATCATCTGTCATTATCATAAGTCATTGTCATCTGAGTCATCATCATTCATTATCTCTACATCATCAGTGCTCACCACCACCGTCATCATCATCATCATCATCACATCAACCAACACTATCATAGTTAACCTCTTTATTTGTCATCATCTTTATCCATCTAATGTTCAGTCTTTATTCTAGATCCAAATCCAAGTCTCCAGATAAGCGTCATCGTAGTCGATCTCATTCATCCCGCTCCAAGTCTTCCTCTTCACGTTCCCGTTCACGATCCAAAAGTCCTCTCAGACGAAAAAAATCTTGGTCATCGTCTCGCTCAAGGTCACGGACACCACCAAGACGCAGACGATCCCGTTCTTATTCACCTCGGCGCAGGTCTCCCTACAGGTCTCCCTACAGGTCTCCCTATAGGGCATCTCGTTATTCACCATACAGGAGACAAGGAAGACGGGATTCGCCACCAAGTCGATGGCGCCCTCCTCCACGACGACGTAGAACACCCGAAAGAAGGTAAACCTGCAAGAAGCGATTTGATTGGCTGATGCTCCACCAATCAGATTGCGCCAAAGATAACTAGAGGCACAGGTAGCCCAATAAATAATAAATCTAATATTTTTTTTTTTTTTCCGGGTACGTCCAGGTCAAGGTCATTTTCCCCAAGAAGACGGGCACGTCCATCTCGCTCAAGGTCTCCCGCACGCCGTAAACCATCTCCTGCTCGCTCTGAATCATCCAGATCACGTTCACGAAGCTCAAGCCCAGAAAAATCCAAGTCCAAGTCGAGATCTCCCAGCCCGCCTAAAACAAGCGAGAACCTCAAAACCAAGACCACCCCGTCCCCTCCCCCCTCACATCATCGCTCTGAGTTCAAGAAAACAAAAGAAGAGGATTCACCTGTAAGACAGCCATCCTTGTCACCTTCACCGTCACCTAAACCAGAAGAGAAGGAAAAGTCCCCGGCGATAATACCTAAATCTTCCAAGACGACGAGTCGTAGATATCGACAAAGATCAGCACGCTCCGAATCAAAATCCGACTCGGATTCTGAGTCATCACCAGAACGAATGAAAAAACGCTCGCCATCCCCTGCCGAACGAAAGCGAAGAACCCCCGAGGATTCGCCGAGGAACCGAAGACCCAGGGACGAATACCCGAGGGATCGTAGAAGGAGGAGTCCCAGTGAATCTCCTCGTGATCGACGAAGACGATACAATTCACCGCCCAGACGAAGACCGCGCTTTTCACCACCACGAAGAAGATATTCACCATCACCTCCGAGAAGACGACGACGCAACGACAGCCCTCCGAGAAAAAGTACTTCACGTCGAGAAGAAACACCTTCCCCTAGTCCCTCTCCGCCTCGAGTAAGACGTAGCCGCGAATCGTCACCAAGAAGACGACAACAAAGACGGAGAAGCTCTACACCACCTCCACGAAGGCGACGAACAAATTCTCCTCCAAAACGCAGAACAAGATCCCCTTCTGCTAAATCAGATTCCTCCTCACCCTCCCCTCCCAGGAAGACAAACACGCGCCAGTCTCCCACGAGAAGACGAGACTCGCAAAGACAACAATCTGTTAGTGAATCCCCACCTAGAAGAAAACGCGCTGACATACCCGAAAAGAAACGTAACGTTAGAGAGAGAGAAAGTTCATATTCCTCGTACAGTGATTCTTCACCTCCTCCCAAAAAAAGAACTGACGTGTCGCCAAAAACACGCGATACGAAAAGAGAGAGGTCGGGTTCTCCAGCCCCTAAGAGAAAGTCCCCAAGCCCTTCCAAGAACAAGGCAGTAACCAAGAAGCAAGAGAGAGGAAGGAGAGGTCGATCTCGATCTCCTTCGCCGTCGGTTAATAAACGTGTTGCGTCCGAGGATGAGAGACAGGCCAGGAAACCTTCACCTAAGCGTGACCGACATAGACAGAGAAGATCAAGATCAAACTCTAGATCTCCGCCAAAGAGGTAAGTAGGATTGTGTCTCTTCAATGTTCGTCGTTTTTTGTTTATTGTTTATTTATTTCGCTCGCTCGCTCGTTCGTTCGCTCGTTCCTTCCTTCCCTTTCTCCCTTCCTCCCTCCCTCCCTCCCTCCCTCC